ATTACTGAACATTTCCACATTTTCCCCCTCCCATGTGTTCATGTTCTCTTTCACACTAAAATAGGAATATTTATCCTTACTTTCTACCAGGCTGACCCTACCCAAACCTCAGGCCTCTTTCCTCAACGATGACCTGTAGCTAAGCCTAATGCATAGTGATCTCTCCTCCTCTAAGCTTGACTTGTTCTTTCTAAAAAATCAAAATATTTACTTTGTTATACATTATGTGCAACACTATGCAATGTATTCCGTGTGTGTGTGTGTGTGTGTGTGTGTGTGTGTATGTAATAAACTATTACTTGCTAATCTATTCATGTATGTATCTGGTTTCCCTGATTATAGCATTCTCTGAAAGCTCTCTGTATCGCGTACTAATGCCTCATGTACTCTATCAGTTTAGTACAGTGCTTGGCACAGAGCTGGTTTCAAACAGGCCCTTACCAATTGACTGACTAATCAATCAGCAAAATGGAAAAATCCAGCCATCATGCTCAAGCGTTGTCTATTGGAAATTACTTTCCTAAAAAGCATTTTTCCTTCCTTTACAGATCAATTGCAAAGTCAAAATTCAAACACTGCTGATTTCACAAACAGGAATAGCTGGTAAGTATTGGGCTTTACAAATAATGAATGTGCACATCAAAATCAAAGTTGCAGATGTTTGTAAAAGTATATACATGCAGCTTGCATGAGCAGAGATGCCTAAAAACCCTTCCACCCCAGCCCAAGGAAAGAATATAAGCTAACGCTCAGAGAGTCCAAGCTGGCCTTGACAGAGTCCAGCATAGCTGCATGGCTCCCACATCACAAGAATATTTCAAGAGTACAGTCTGGCTTTGCCAATTGCAAAGGAACTACATTTTTATTTTGGCAACAATAATATTTATTTCAGCTCTCTTGTTTGCTGATCCTTCAGGCCTTTACAGCATCTATAAATGAAGGCAACAAAGTTTGTTTCATTAGAAGATAACCCTATATGTTACACATCTCTGTAGTTGATATTGCAGGAAGGAATGGAAATGAGAGCAATCTTTTATCTTACTTACAGAGATTCTAATCCAGCTTTCTTTACAGAAGGCCAATACTGAAAATAAGTATGGCTAGTCTATGCTAATCAATTATGTTTATAAGTATCTTATAGGTTTGATTAGACCTCTTTAGAGGCAAGATCAAAAGAGAAAATGTTAAAATTGCTTATAGCATAAGGCAATAGACTATGATTCTTTATAATATAAAATATATACTTGGCACATAGCACTACTTTTCTAGAATAATAATGTTTATTTTGGAGCTTCCAATCTGCCAGAGACTGTTCCAAGTGCTTTAGATATATTAATAGTTATTCAGTCTTCAGCAGGGTCCAATGTCTTAGGTAAAATTGTCATCTCCATTCTGTATATGAGGGAATGGAGATACAGAGATTTTAATGTTTCCTAAGGGCAAGTGGACAGTTCAGAGGCATAAAGATAGTTATGCATTAGTTCCTGGAGTCAGGACGATGCAGATCTAATATTTGAGCTGGAATAGTCTGGCTCCAGAATTGATGTTCTTAACCACTACACCATACAACCTCTAAACAATTTGTAGGCTCTAATTGAGAGGTATGTGTAATGGTGGAAAGGACATATGTTTCACATTCACAAAATCCTGGTTTAAATCTCAACTCCACAATTCACTAGCTGTGTGGCCTTGGACAAATTATTTAACATCTCTGAACACTGTTTTTTAACCCCATTGTGAGGATTTTGTAAATTTGTTATATTTTCAATAGTCTGTCTAATTCACTGAGCATATATTCACTGAGTTTATAGCATACAGTAAGTTATTATTATTCAAAAACTAGCCCTAAATATAATATGTTATAATATCTGCATAATCCTCTATTAGTTCATGGTAAATTACTGAATGAGCTTCAAATAAATGGAAATACACTTGGCCATAGTTCTTTGGAAGAAGACAACATTGAAGCTATATGTATCCTAATGAATTGCATTTCAACTGAATACCATTTCAACATTGAAATACTTTTATCAGAAGTATTCCAAAATTCTGATACTTAACCTGTCAATCAAGGGGGTTAAATACAAGGCAAGAACTAACTTAACTCCATTTCACATAATTGATATATTCATTTCATAACAGCTGAGTAAAAAAAGATTTAACTCACTGAACTTTTAGTTGTATCATCAGTAAAATGCATGACAACATTAAGCAAAATTTTATTGGCTTGAAAGTTATGCATGTCTTTTCAAACTCAGCTATAAATATTGATCTTACCTTCATTCCCTCAAGAATTCAACAGCAATGTTTGAATTTCTTACTTGCTTTTCCCTCTTGTAACAACTTCACATCTATGGAAGATCAATTTCCAAAGAGGAACCCCAGGGAGTTACTAATCTATCAAATACAACTACTTAAAAGAGAATACAATTCTTCAGGTGGAAATAACACCTGGCTTTATATAAAGTATTATTACCAAGCTGGGCAGAAGAATATTCTCAGCACTGAAGGTTAAAGACTAAGACATCCACTGGGCACTGCTTGCACATCTGCAGCCTTGTTCCCTAGACTAACGTGATCCTCCTCCACTACCCAAATTGGGATCTTTACTCGCTAAATTTCAAAACTCCTTTTATGCCACTACATATCACAACCAAAGATCTTAGTTGGTCTGGCTTCTAGAAGCTCTTCCTCAAATAGCATAGCCATACTCATGACTGTGCCAAAGTCGGGCTCTGAGGATTCTTTTGAGGCCACGTGGTCAGGACAAGTCCTCAGTCATGCGACACAACAGAGGCAGAGACCTGCCCGGAAATCTTTGTTCTTTCTAAACTTTCAGCCACCATAAGGCCTCTAGGAACCTCCAGTTCTTTCTTATTTAGAGGATTATGGGATTTGTGTACCAATACACATATCATGATACAATACACAGTCGACACTCAATAAATGGTATGTGCTACTGTTTTACTTTTTTTATTTTACAAGCATTGTTATATGTTAAGATATTCTGATTCAGAGCTGTTTCAATGTATCCTTTGGTAAAGGGATCTAAATCAAATAGAATTACTGCATCTCGAATTTTCAGGTAAGTGTCAGGGAACTAAAATGGTACCTTTGATAACCTCCCAGATGATGGTGAAAGAGACCCATTATGCACCACTGGGTTCACAGGGGCATGAATGAGAGAAGGGTGGGGGGGGGGTCACAAAGGACCTCAAATTTAAACTTTTGATTCCCTGTTCAAAAGAGGTTACATACAGTCTCGCAGATACACTAACAGGTTTAAAAGAAGACATTTATCACACAGTCTTAAATTTGTATTCTGTTACATATGACTATACTTCCTAAAGCGTACCACGAATTGGTATTTTTCATAAATCTTCTGATCAGCATGTGATTAGGTCCATTATACTGCATTGTACTTCTGGTGTTAAAAGCATTATTTTTAAAAATGCAAACATTTATATTATATGAGAATCTGATTATCCTATTTTGGCACGTCTTCATCTGTCACTAGATTGGGATCCTCACAAAATGGTTTAAGCCTCTATTTACCTTGAAAAGTTTCTGCCACAGGGGAAAGAAATTCACTTATTATCTAGTGTTATATAAAGTTTTTCTATGATAGTACATCCATATTTAACAGTAATTATGATAAGAATTCACCTTTATTGATATTGTACTAAGTAAGTAAGCACTACAGAAAGCACTGCTTCACTGAACCTCTCAACAACCCTATGCGATAGGTACTATTATTTGCTTCATTTTACACACGAGAAAACAGAAGCTTAGAGAAGTTAAACCACTGCCCAAGCCGGGGACCCAGTCAGCGCTGAGCCTGACAGACGCCGAAGCCTGCGCTCCGCCCCAGCGCACTGCGCGGACCGTACAGATTCAGTGGCTTTTTTTGTTTGTTTGTTTTTATCCTATTTTCTATTCCAAATTAACTTTATGCTTTTAAACACCTGATCTGGAAGCTAACTTTTTGTTCCATGAGGTTACTTTTCGAGTGTCCTTAACGCTAACTAGCTCGCTACTTCTCCTTTAAGATACGGATTTCTTTGCTTCTTATTTCCCAGGCGTAGCGCAGCCCCACAATTCTCTGTCCAGTTAACGGTGAGTGAGTATAGCTTCCTTTTTACTCACTCTACTCTTCTCTCCTAAGCGCTTTCCCAAGTGTCTTCCCACTCTGAACCCAGCTGCCCTCGGGCAGGTACCTCCGGAGTGGCCGCGCCCCCACGCTCCCCACCCCCTCCCGCGCTTCCAGGTCCGGCTGTGCTGGAACCTACAGGCATCTGCATCCCCACTTATCCTGACTACTGTGGTTTCAAGGGGCCTCTTTTGAACGCAGACAGCCAGTCAGCCAAGTTGAAATTTATACCAGAAATCTATTACCTAATTTTTAAACAAAATGACATGAAATCAGACTTGAAGATATCAAAAACATGTCTAGTTTTTGATTTAAGCAAGAAAATCCACATTGTTACTGTTTCCACCACAGAATAATTTACTGCAACAGGAGTTCTGGATCTTATGCCAAAAATGAGGTCCTCTAACCAATGTCAAGGCCAATTATCTTGTGGTAGATCCCACAACAAAAGCAGACTATTGTGATTAGAGTCAGAAGCACCACCCAGAGAAGTTGGAAAGCTTCTGGGGATTTCTTAAGTTTAGTTTTTATTTTTTCCTCCTTGTGTGTCTGTTTAAATAAACTACCAGAAACTTTGTGTGTGGGCACTGAACATCTTAGATTAGTCTGGGCGACAAGGACAGAGGGTGATCCATTGGGAGAAACCTGCTGCAGATTTGGTTTCGAGTAGGAGCCGCCCTGCAAGGCTGTGTGCCTGAGACCGAGCAAAGATGACCACGGCCAGGCCCCTTTGGGATGGTGTCACAGCTTCCTCCCTGCCCTAATCGCCTTCCCAAACAAGCTGCCTAGCCACCCTGAGGTTTCTTACTGGGAAGGGGAAGCCCAGGTGGCCAAGTTCAGGAGCACTTACCCCACAGTAAAGAACTGCCTCATCTCCTGTCTCCGAGACCTCATCAGTTGTTTATACTCCCCGATCCGGAGCTTTTTGCCATCAACAATGCAGGTGCGTTTCGGTCGAGGTTTGTATTTATAGTTCGGGTACTTCTCTAAGTGGATTTTGCTTAGCCGGGCCTGCTCTTCGTAATAAGGTTGCTTCTCTTGGTTGGACATGGATTTCCAGCGAGATCCTAGACATGAAAATAACCTTGAGTGCCTATGCGGGGAAGGCAACATATTCGTGGCAAATACAGCTCAGTTTACCTTCCCACTGCTTCACTCACCTGGGCTCCGAGTGACTCCTAGTACCACATAACTGGTGAGCCTCGCAACTAGTCTTTTAGACTATAGAGCAAAGGCTAATTTTGCATGTGATACATTTATTCCTCTCAATGATTTAAAGGTGTTACAATAAGTACATTGTTTTAAAACATGTCTTTGCTGCTTAAAGATCATCTTCAACATCAAAATCTTTTCCCACCACCATCTGCCCATCCCCCTCGAGAGAGTTAAAAGCCTAACCTTCCTAAGCACACTTTCGGTATGACGGGTTTTGGGAAAAGCTTTCTTGGTTCCAGAAATTCAAACCTCTCTCTCATTCCAAGCATCTTTAGGAAAGCTAGCCTTTGATAAGATGTCAGCGGATATGATATCCTTCCATGTATAAAAACCCACTGTGCACACTGCCTCCCCTGGCCTAGGGTAATTAAAAAGCCTAAACTCTACTTAAGAAGTTATAGCTTTAGAACCGGAAGGTACAGTTGGAATTATATATACGATTTTCAAGTACTATAAACGTTCATTCAAAGCCGTACCAATAAAAGTACAAAAATTTTTAATATGGTTTACACAGGAAGAAGGAAAAGTATTCACTCCTCTAATATTGTTTATAAAGAATTATCTAAACACTTGACGAAGAAGGGATGTGTTTTTTTACATGTATCAAATTGCATTTTTGTGTCTCACTGGTGAATAAAGCGGTAACAGCTGTGCTGACTGGATGTTAGCTATTCTTCAGTGGAGATTTTTCATACATAAACAAATGGAAAAGTTGTACAAATATTCTCCGTAGCCAGCAATATCCTGGTCTGCTCTAATAGCACATCCATCCCTGTTCGCTCCCGATTGTGCGCAAGTTGTATAGGGCATCTGTGCAGATAGGCTTGTCAGTGCTCACAGGCTTCCAGCAGCTTAGAGCCCTGGTTAACAGAGGATTCTTGGTGCTCTCATGCTTGGAAGTTTACATTTTAATGAATACACTTACTATATTCTTAATAATTTTTTCTCAGAATGCACACCAATAATATAAATTCCCCACAGCTGCCAAAATGGGAACAGAGAAGTTCTGTGCCCATGCGGGAGCTTACTCATGCTGCTACTAAAATGGAAAAAAAAAATTCAAAGTCAGATATCAAACTTTAAGGACAGAGAAGCACTGGTTTTCTTTTGAATGTCTATTAATTAGAAAAACTTTAATATATACATTGGGAACATTTTGGTTTGAAAGGTATTTAAATTAGAAGAAATAATACCCCTACACATATCTCTGAGACTCTAAAAATAAACTTAATTGTAATGACATTCACTATCCATCATGAAATTCAAAAGTCAAAATGGAAAAGAAGGGAAATTTGTATTTTAACGTTTCACCACTATTGGATCTATGTATGTTTTAAATTTTCTTAGAGGTCACTGCCTCAAAATGTCTCAGAATCAGGTTAAATTATTTATACAGTGACAGAACATGTGTATTTGTGTATGTCCAGATCACTGATATTCACTCAGGTTAAATATTTATTGCTTTTGAACAAAACATTTAAAAAATGAAAACCACAGTTTAAGTCTCTAATGTTTTTCAGCTTCTTTAACGGCTCCCTTTGAGATTTTGTCACATCATGACAGCTTAAATAGAACAGTGCCTTCTGTGTTTTTTCTTTTTAAAGAGGAAACATGTTGACTGTAATGCTGCGTGTTGAATAAAATATGTTCAATATGTTGAGCACAATAATTCCAAACTGTATAATCTGCACTAGGCAAGCTTCACACTAATAGAACAAGGCTTGAGTTTAATCCTGAGAAACAGGAGAATCACCCTAGCAATTCACCGCAAAGTGGGCCTCTGCCCTGTGGTCCACTGTGCTCGACTCACTGCTATGGAATCTGAACTAGTCACTTCTTATCTAAGTAAATGTAGTTTTATTTTGCAAGTTTTAAAGTTATCATTGGAGGCACTGTGCTACAGCCCATGATCTTCACACTAGTGGAGGCCCGCATCTAAGCCCTTGATGAGTCCTCTCAGAGGGACACATGAAACCGAGAATACTAAAGAAGACCACTGTAGGCTCTGTGTTTCCAAGGCTTCATAACAGCTCATGAATTTAAAAGACTGAATAAGAAAAGGAGATAAAGCTTGTCTCCATGATTGCTGTGTAGCAGTGACCTCTCAGAGTGGCCAAATTGACAGAATTAACGCATACTCTAAATAGTTCTGTCTCTGAAAGAAGTTTTTAGTCAGTCTCACCCTGGCGCCTTGCACATGTAAAAACGCCCAAACCCAAATGCCACACTCTAGGGTAGGAGATGTAGAAGTGGTGACAAAGTTTCCTGTGGCAGCTTGCTGAGCTGTGTCTAACTTCTGCAAACCACAGTCTCCCGTAAATATCAAATTTGCTCTTGCTTTTCACTCTTGGGACACTCATGGGGTAAGAGACCAGCTTCCGCGGCTACACTCACCTAAGATTTTGCTAATGTTGGAGTTATGCATGTCGGGGAAGGCCTGAAGGATTTTCCTCCTCTCATCCTTCGCCCATACCATGAATGCATTCATTGGTCGCTTGATGTGTGGCTCGCTGCTGGCCCGGCCGCGGGCATCCCTGTAGACTCGTGCTTCAGCCACAGTGGCACCTCCTGTTGGCCAACAATAATACTGCTGTAGTTTAGCTGCAGAGCCATTCATTGCTTTACTTCCTGTAACATCAGGGCAGGAAGAACAAGATGGGTGCAAAGCATTATTATCTGGATCATGTAACTCAGCTCACTGCCTGGTTAATCTGCTTTCCCTAGGCCCTTCCTTTCTTTTTAAGTGACATCTTGGAAGCAGAAGACAGTTTCAAATGATAATTTGACAGGCCCTTCTGATATAGGCCTCAAAGACATACGGGGCAAAATTAATGTTGCATGTTTTTATACCCCTAGCACATTTTTAAAACAATCTACGCAGGTGCTAAGGAAGCAATGGCTGACTGCACTTTTGCAGAGCTACCCACTGCCATTCTTCCCCGTATCTATCGTAGCCTCACTTGCCAAAAGCTGCAGCCACTCCAAACCGTGTCTTTCCCTCAAAGAGAATTCTCTTTCACAATATTGCCCCTTGGCCAGGGCTCTTCTCAGTACCTGAAAGGAAACCCCTTCTCCCACCTCCTCACACGAAATCCCACTCATCCTTCAAGGCCTATTCAAATGTGGTGTGTTTCATGAATTCATTAACTCATTAATTATCATTAATTAATAATAAAAATATTAATTGAGCAATCACTATGAGTTAAGCTTCATGCCAGGTGCTAGGGATAGAAAGGTGAATAAAACAGCCCCTGCCTTTAAGTAGCTCACAGGGCAGCAGGGAGACAGGACCCAAAAGCCCATGAGCACCACGTGTGTGGTAAGTGGTCGTAATATTGAAGTAAGCAGGTTTCCAAGAGGGCACCAGACTGGACAGCCAGCTAGTGCCACCTGGGAGAGGCCAGGCCCAAGCTGAGCCTGGAGGAGGAACAAGAATTAGCCTGTGAACGCAGGAGGGTGGTTCGCATGGAGAGGAAGGCTGCGGGAGGAGCGCCTGCGGTGTGCTCCCCAGGCCGCATTCCGTCTTTCTCTTAGGCTACATGATCCAAAGTAATTATTTATTTATGTCATTATCCCTCTCCAATTTTTCTCCTTCATCCCCAGGAATATGAGACCTTTAAAGTTGGTGTTTATGTTGTGCTCATTCTTGTATCCCCAGGATTTCCCACAAAATAGATACTCAATAAATTCTTACTTAAGAGATTGTTTGGTCTTCAACTCATACGCCAAAGTAATAGACTAAAAGGCATGTGTCTCAAAGGTCCCGATGTATTTTTCTGCCGTTTCCAGGTAGATCTTTAACATCCTCCTATACAACTATGTCTAAATTCCTGATATTGTTTTATACTTTCCAAAAAGGTGACTCTAGTAACATACTAGACTGAAAGCTCCTTGAGGATATGGCAGGAACTGGCTCTTGTTCACTGCTGTTTCCCTAGGTTCCAGTAAAGCACTTGTAGAATTTCAATTAATAAAATATGATAAATTAATGAACGATTGAATGAATTGATTGAAAGAGTGAACATAGCTCTTGCTTATTTTCATGCACCAGCATGACACACTGATGTATGCTTTACAATGTTGCAACTACTGAATATCTCCCTGTAGGTTGAGAACGTCTCTAGTTAAATTTAACGTTGGACTGACAGTAAGCCAGGGCTTCTACTGCAGAAAGCAGAAAGCCTATTTCCAAAAGCTTAGAAGCAAAATATACATTAAAACCAACATTTCTACTTTTGGGAAAAGTAAATCCTTTCAGTTCAGTGGAGTGATTATACAGGAACAAGGTGACCCAATCAATCTCTGGCCCTTCCATTCTATTTTCAGATACCTTGATTATGTAGAAATTTGTTTGTGTCAGAGCTAGGAATAAATGAGAACATTAAAGTGGACTATTATTTGGCAAATATGGACATCATTTGTTGCAAACAAAAGACAAGATGATAAAAAGTCTGAATTGGACGCCATTGTTAATTCTTTTCTAAACACAAAGGAGAGCAGAGGGGTCACTTTCTGAAGACCATGAGAAAAAAACCTATTTTACAAACAGGCCTTCTCTTAGCACTACTAGACAGAATGATCCCTTACATGAAAAAAATCAGACCCCAAGATGCATAACTAATATGCTACCTTTTTGCCACCATACCCACAGTACATTAATTTCATTTAAAATGCACTGACCATACAGGATAAATTGATTTCACTTTATATGGGTTTGACAGCCATGTTTATTGTGCAGTGAAATGTAGTGTAGCTTCCAGCTGACAATATCCATCAACACAGGGCAATATGCTGACTGCTGGGCCAGATGAAGGCATACATTACTCTGGAAGTGAAACACTCATTCAGATATGACAGTGTCTTCTCCTGAGGATCACCACGGTAATTTATGATGCCCTCGGTGCCATTACTTTAGAACTGACATGGATTCAGCAATTTATATACTTGCATGCATACACATAAAAGAAGACGGGCTTGTGAAGAGTGTCATATGCAAAAACATTTCAATATTATTCTAAGTTAACTACTGTGCCACAGGTGATTAACTTTTGAGGTCTGCTCTTACTGTCATAAGTTTCTCTCCACCTCTAGTCACACCAAATGGTCAGTTTCTATTTATTTATTTATTCATTTAAAAAATATTTTTTCATTGTAAATAAGATGTTTTAATCTCCTACAGGCTAATAGAGATCATGGTAGATTTTTAGATTCTGGTTTTGGTAGATGTTAATTCCATACCAATCGATTCTTGCAGATATGTCCACACAGCCCCACCTCTCTTCCCTCTCAGTCCACTCCACGGTCTTAGTATATCCTTCCCACTCTTTTCTATCTTTACTGAACTTTCCCTTTTTCCAGGGGAACGGGCTCAGGTTCCACCCCACCAACTGCCCTCCACTGACCTGGTCCCTTTCTTCCAGAGTCCGTATTGTCTACATGGCACTGACACTGCATTAATTACACAGCAGGTTTCTAGGATGCACAAGAAATGCTCTCATGAAATAATAAAGTCAAGCTTAGTATGTAGTATAAAAATACAAATTAAGAAGGGAAAATAGAAATGTTCCAGGTCATTCAGGCACACATCTCCTTTTTCTTGCTCCTTCTTTTCTCTTCTAAGAGGAGTTAATTGAAAAAAGAATGGGGGCATCCTGAGGAAAACTAGGAATGTGCTGTCAATGAACCAAGATTTGGAAAGAAGAAGAGACTTATCCAGGGAGATCAATTAAGCTGGATGTGATATCTGATCAGAGTCAGAATTTTAAGAAAGTATTAAGAGGCCACAAAACAAAAGACGATTTAGGAGTCCTTTAATTTTCCCAAATTTTGCTTTATGCAACGAAATAGTTAGAGAATTATTGTTGCAGCAGTAGAAATACATACAACTTGGTGTGTATATTTAAATTAAGAAATTTAAAAATGGAGATTGAATATTATGAAAGCTCTTATAAACAGATGAGGAAAATTTTATAGAATGCTATGAAATTGTTTTCAAAAGGCATGCTATTATTCTGAATACTTGAAGCCTAAAATCCACTTTCTGTTCTAATTAATTTTAAAATCTACATATCATGCGTGGCTTCATTCATTTTTGAAAATAATATTTAGTTTTTGGGTTTCTTTTAAAGCCACTTTATCCTAAAATAGCCAATGCTCTGTGTCAATCCAGAGCTGTCCTAGGGAATGTCTCACAATCCTATGAGGCAGCTTCTTTTACTTTTAATAGCAGAGGAATCAATTGTGAGTTCACTGTTCATGACATATCCTCTCATAGAAAGCAGTTGGAAGAAGACTAGAACCAGAGGTATGTGCCTGAAGACCACTGCTTTCCCGCTGACCTGAGAGTCTTTAATTACCTGAAAAAAAAATCCTAAATGACAATTACTGAAAGCCCAGGGGGTCAACAGAACCCTGCACTGGTCACCTGTGCTCCAAGAATTCTTGCTCTCTCCAGCTTCACCGAGGGGGCTGGACTGATTAATTCATCTTTCATCTCCTATATTATGGTTTTGTAAAGGCAAACTTTCAGTAAGAAAAAGAAAGATAGTGTATGGGGAGAAAATAGAAATTGCAAAGGCAAAGGCCTCCTTAGAAATCTGTGATTTAAATGATTTAAAGAGAAGAAAGTTGAGTTTTTCCAGGTGGGTCCAGTCTAACCAACATAGCCTGTGGCAATGGTCCTAAACTAATCCTAGAGAGGCCCCTTCCTGGGTAAATTCCAAGAGTTATGTGAGTGAATGAGTAAGTGTTTGCTGTGTGTTTTTGTATATATAATGTTCTCACCGAAGAGGAACTCTAGCCAATTCTATAATGTACCTAGGAATCATTTATCTATGCATTAATTTAGCAAACACTTCTGACACATTTTAGGTGTACCCAGCATTGTGATTGAGTATACAAAGAATAATAATACGTGGGCATTGTTCTTAAGGAATTTGGTTCAGTGAGGGAAACAGACACATAAAGAGAAAACTACAAAGCAGTAAAGCACTAACAAAGGTAATTTTAAAATACTATGCCAGAAGTAAGCTCTTAATGTTATTGGAATGGACAGAGATGAATATGAGGAAGGCTTCAGAGAGGAAGTGGTGCTTGAAAGCATCTCAAAGGAAGAGTAAAAATTTACCAGTAGGTGTGAGTGTGAAAGCCTTCCCGGCTGCAGAATCAGTATGAACAAAAGCACAGAGTTTTAGCAAAAGCACAGTAGGTTTTAGGGAATAGAAAGAAGCTGGCTATGGCTTGGACTTACAGAAAAAAAGTAGAAAAATTACTAAAAGATGAAATTAGAAAAGTAAGTGGGGGCCATATTGCTAAATACCCTTGAATGCCAAGCGAAGAAGTCTTTCAGGTAATTAAGCATGGGAGTGACATGAACAAATGTGTTCTAGAAGAGGTTAAAATGGAAACTTAATGGGAAATTACCAGTGAATAGTCTCAGTGATTACTAGTGAATTGATAATAAAGACTAGAGAAAAATAAAATGAATAAATATCTCCTCACAAACCCATTACAATTTACATTTTGTTAGCCACAATGTGATATATACAAAATGTTGGCACAAAAGATTCTCTTCAGGGATCTAGTCCTGGTAATGGCAGAACAGCTTATATCAGACTAACCCTTGAGCA